TACCTTGTTTTCCAGATATCCAAAGCCGAAGTTCGTTTTTATTTAGCTAAAATAATTGTTGCTACCGCCTGTGACTCTCACTGATCGCTTGTTCGTTCCTAACTGTCTTTTATGGTGTTATCGGCAAAATGAAAGGAAACAATCTACGGTTTTTCATTTTCTTCAGTATTATGGACCACAATATCCCACCAACGAGTCAAACTAAAACTGAGTGCCCAGCAGTAGAGGATATCAGTATTGATTTCGAAAGGGCTCAGACTTCCGACAACTACAGATGAAGTCACAGATGCTACGAATCTATTGCAGAGGGTTTGTTATAAAATGTGTGCCATATAGCAGTAATAGACGAGTTGTACTCATTACGTAGTGCGTTAAAGCAAGCTTAACATTGAAAAGCCGGAAATCTGCTACCAGTGTGTATTGTATGTTTGCTGTTTTGGCCATAAAAGGAAGCCGAAGGGTCATGATCAGGAAGTAAAAAGGTAGTTAACTGTTATTAAGCTGACTTTTTTATAGATCATATTTCACCACTCGCAAATTTGTATTTTCTTACGGTATGATGTCAACTGGTACCTAATATGTTCACCCCTACGATGAAAAGTACCTACAAATTTTCACCTTCATATTCGAATTATTTTCGGACAATTGTCTTACAGTCTGAGTGCTTCGTACGCCCCGAGGAACTCTATTTCTACAACATTCGTAGTTCCAGTATAACTTTCTCACGCAGTAAGTTCAAATTAGACTCTAGTCTTTCGAAATAAGCCTGTCAAGCTAATATCCGTATTCTCTATTTCAGTTAATCGGTGAAGACGTGTACCACGTGCACATGCTGCATACTTCTATTTTACTCTAATTCTAAGTGTTATATCTTCTGAAAAATAAAATTGCTATATACAGCAAATACAGACTGTTTTGTTTTGATGGAGATAAGGGGGTTCATGGGATTTTTAGTAGGACTGTAGTAATATTCTCACTCAAAAGCTAAGCGAGTGCGTAGACCAGTGTAAGGTACCATACGGGGTGCATTTGAGTTACTAGTGTTCCATTAGTGTGGGTAGAGGCATTGCTTGCTTACTATATGGCATTTGAATAAGAAGCTATGAGACTAGACGCAAGTACGGTTAGGATGTGTAACGCGTGTCCATGCATCAGCTGCCGTGACAAGTGGTGGTTAGAATAAATTATGAGAGGACCCGAGTCTGTAGGTTTCCCAAGAAAATGACGAAGATATTTACTAAATCACTTAGATTTACTACATATGAACTAGGTGCTGAGAGGCTCGTGTATCACAGGTTTCTTGCAACGATTAATTGGATAAAACAAAGTAGCATTAGATTTAAAAATTTATTCAGGAACTTTAATTAAAAATCGAATATCAAACAATGGTTTAAACCAAGTTTCCGCGTCTCACACCAAAAATACTTAAAGCTATCAAATAATGTATGACAGCAACAGTACCAAAGACATTTTTTTCCTATTTTTAATCAGACTGATTTGAATCAGCATACTCATCAGAAACAGGCATCTCTACTTACTAAACTGATCTGTTTCGTTCCAGGCTTCAAGCAATATACTTAAGTATACCATAATTCTTTCGACTAAACTGAATTATACGACAACCAAGAATACTAAACTAAGTAAGTGTCATAATTATTGTTTCATTTGCACAGACATGTTGCTTAAAGTAGTTAAGTGCACATAATTCAGCTGATAAAACCAAAACACGAAATATAGGCCAGTCGAACTTACCTAACAGAAGACAAAGGATAGACATACTGCTTCGAGACTGAAGACAACAGTCAGTTGTTCATGAAAAAAATAGTTTATAGTACAACAAACCTTCCTTCAGTAACATTATGCACTGACGGTCTATCTGGGAACAATCAACTATGAGATTTTACTCACTGTGACTTGGGATATCACCACAGCGTGCAATTAATGTACAGTGTAACGCAGTCGGACCTGGGGAATAAAAATTAAAAACAAAGCAAAATTAACAACATAATCTAGTTATTTAATTAAAAATACATTATGAAATGACAAAATCTGTGTTTACTTGAACGCACAGATGACCCTGGGAGATACATTAAATTTACATGGTTGCGTTGCGGATAAATTCACCCGAAGCATCCAGCATCAAAGCAATTGGGGCAAGAGAATTCGGATACATCAACGTAGTTGCCTGAGCCAGTTTATCTTTAAGCTGTTCGATAGCTTCGACGGCGTCAGAAGGCAAATTGAATTCTTTTGATTTTCCTTTAAGTGAATCTGTCAAAGGTGTGAATCTGCGATACAAGTTAATTAGACCGAGAAAGCTTCTCAGTTGTGTTAGAGAACAAGGTATGGGGTATTGTTTGATGGTGTCCACTTCTTTGATAGGTTTAATCCCTTTTGGGCTTATTGTGTGACCAAGAAATTCTAGAGTTCGAACACCGAGAACACACTTACTTTAATGTATATTCATTCCATGTTCATCCAGTCTTTTTAACACCGCTCATACATGCTGTTTGTGTGATTGCAAATTGGGGCTAGCAATTAACAAATCGTCTATATACCCTTGTGCTAATGGCATTTCTTGAAGTAGGTTATCCACGAATATTTGAAATGTTTGTGCCGCATTTCTCAGGCCGAATGGCATGCGTACAAACTCGAACAAGTCAAAAGGTGTAGTAATAGCTGCCTTGAGGATATCTTCATCAGCCATCGGGATATGGTGATATGCCCTGACTAAGTCAATTTTAGTGAATATGTTCATACCCTGTAAACCGTTTGTGAAATATTGGATATGCTGTATTGGGTACCTATCAGGTACGGTTTGACGGTTGAGGGTTCTGTGATCCCTGCACGGTTGCCAATCACCTTCACTCTTCTTTGGGACTATATGCAAAGGGGATGCCCATTGACTATCAAAGGGACGGATAATACCTAGTTGTAGCAAATGGTCAAATTCGGCTCTGGCGATTTTGAGCTTATCTGGTGCTAGTCTCCTGGGTCTTACTAACACAAGCGCACCTTCGGTTTCGATAACATGACTTACTTTTAGTTTGTCCTTAAAAGGCTGTGAGGTTGGTCTAGTTAAGTTTGGAAATTCCGCGAGTATATCTTGGAATTTCGCTGTTGTTACTGGAGGGGTTTGAATCAAGTTAAGAGAGCTGATGTGACTTTCTTTGCCTTTTGTGTAATACGAAGTTTCTTTTAGTGTTAATCGCCTTTTCTTGGTGTCAACTAGAAATTCGTATCTCTCTAGAGAGTCCACCCCAGTATTGCCAGATCTAAATCGGCTACAGTGAAAATCCAAGGGAATTGCCTCTTGATCCCCAAATCTAGTGTTAAAGTTTTCTGCCCAAATGTCGCAATTTTAGTTCTATTGGCAGCCTAAAGTGTAATTGGGGATGTTTCTCGACTCAGCTCAGTTTTATTTTGAGGGATGATACTAAGAGCAGCGCCAGTATCTACCTAGAAATTCTAGCCAGAGTTTCTGTTTCTAACATAACAAGAGGCTGTTTAGGCGCCCCTCTTCAGTCGTCGCAACCTGGGGAGGGTTAACTCGTTTCCCGCTTTCTTGGAATTTCGCTAAATGAGATAAGGAGGTTTCAGGATCTTGTGCATCCAAACATTGTTGGACGTAGCATGGGAGAGCTTGTATCCATCCCTGTTTTAGAACTGCTTCACTTACTTTTTTATCACCCACAAAGACTTGGAGGTGACGTAAAAACTGTGACGGTGACCTATCACCTAGTGTTTCTCCCTGGAAAAGCCTTTGGATTCTTTGGCTGTCTGATAATCATAAACGGTTCATTATCCCTCGTCTTAAGATGGTGTATGGTGGTGATGGTGTACTTAAAATCAGGCCACGGACTTCTTTGGTGACTGAAAGAGGGAGAATAAAACATAAGTCTCTATAGCAGATTCCTTCAGATTTGATATTGTGTCTCATGAAATAATGCTCTAGTTGAGCAAACCACAACTCAGGATCACTACAATCAAATTCTGCAAGTCGGATTTTCGTAGTCATAACAGTGTTCATCTCCATTGGTGACAAATCCTCCAAGTTTTGGGTTTGCATTAAGTCTGACATGAGGTATGTGACCAATAGAGTAATAAAATTAGAACGATAAATGGTTACTACAACACGAATGCCTTAAGATAAAAGAAAAATAAACTATTTATGTACCAAACTTAGTTTACGGATAATCAGAAGGTCTACTTTTACGACTAAGTAAAAAAAATAAAATCAATAAAAAAGTGACGTTAAATTTGTGTTCAATAGGGCTCGCCAGTTTCCTATCTGTAGGTAACCCTCGTGCCATTGATAGAAAAAACCAAACAAGTAGTGAATAGGTCTTTATTTAGATCTTCGCGCAGTCACAGTGCAGCAAGGGATTATTTGTTCAGACAAACAAAGACCCTTGAAATTCAATATAACATTATAGGAAATATACAGATTATACAAAATGAAGAAGTGAATAAATGATTGAACCATACAGAATTGACATATACTTCGGCTCTTGAGTTGAATCAATGACACTAAAGATCACATGGATATTCAGGGCTTGACTACGTCTTTGTACGCAACGCCGTTGTAATCAAAAGATACCAACCCATTCAAACCAGAAGTCATGAACGAAAGAGTTCAAATACATATATGGAAAGTTGTCTATATGTAGAGAATCGTTTGATCTAAACTGGTTAGTAGTTGTGAGGGTTGCGTAGCCCGTGATCCCTATTGACGATCTGGAGCGGATGCGTGACCAGTCACCTTCATTAGGGTGTGCCCTGTAAAACCGATGCGGTCAGCATTAATCTCGAAGCCTTACGGAACTATTTATTACGTAGATTTATTTACCGACACAACACCTACCCCCAACCTTTGGATATCAACCGAGGTAACTAGCAATAATAAAGTTATGCAGCTAGACTTACTTCAATAAGCACTATTAAGGATCTGAAACCGTTCCTTAATATCGGAACATGAATCAGAGGCGAACCTGGGTTTCAGAAATGAGGAAAATTCAAGTGCTTGCGGAACGTTGAGGTAACGTATGGTTCTTTTAAGTCTTGTTTGGATTGCTGCACACTCTTCAACATTTTCCTTGGATTTTTTCTCCGTATTAGGCTTCATATCATACCAAACCCAGATTTTTAGCTTTTGAAGTTTCAAAGGGTTGCATCTGTTTTTTTAAATATTGGATATTCTAATTACCTTCTAAATGTTGACGTTTGCCTTTACTTGCCTAGAGAAATTTACCTTTCTACACATTTGGTCTCAGTAAGGAAAATAATTTACATTTAGGAGGAAATCTGTCCATATTGATTTTATTTGCAGGTGGCAAAAATATCAATCATTGCGAGACTGTAATATATGGACGAGCTAATCAGAAGCGTTTTAGGAATTTCAAGGTCACGAAGACAAGTTCAACACCTGATGATCACATACGATCGGTTTATAGAGGATTTTAGAGAAGTGACTATTGAGCGGCTACAAGAGATGAGACTACTAAGAAGTTCCTATACCTATGACTGCGGTTATCAAATGACTGCAGTACAGTGTGCAGACTATCGTGTTGAGATTGTATTTCGTTGTTCTTTATGTCGGAGAAAAAAGTTTACTCAAACGGGGAATTTCTTCTCTCGATCGTGACTGAGACTGAGGTAAATCATGATAATAGTCGCAAATTGGATAATAGAGGCACCAGTAACACTGGCTGCAGCGTTTGCAGATGTTCTTTTTAAACAAATCCCTGTTTCATGACTGGAGAGTGCAAAAAAAGCAATTGCCAACGTCCGGGCTGTCGTTATCCCGTTGAAAGCGGCATGCAATGCGATGAGTGCAAAGGCTGGTACCACGAAGTTTGCACGAATTTAACGCCTGCAGCTTTCAAACGATTCAGTAAAAACGGTTTCGTCTGGTTTTGTCAACACTGCTGTTCGGATGCAAACAGTTTGCTAACCGAGGCCGTCTCATTGGTACATGCAGCAAAAAAGTGTTTTGACAAGCGTGGTCGGGACACATCGAACAGTCCTCGCCCTGTCGACACGCAAATTGATGTGAAGCAAACTCTGGTGAGTTCGAAAACAGGTGACTCACTCCGACCAAAGGAGGAAAAACAGTCTTCAAAGAGGTCTGTCTTAGCCAAAAACTCAAGAAAAGAAGTTTCTCCTTCTAAATGGTATCCAGCAGGAAACGCCTAGAAGCCTCAATCGCAAGGCTCAACCGGTTTCTAGCGGGAAACATAACCTGACCTCCCAAATCGTCAACAACCCTCTGGAATCCCACAGTTTGTTTGACGCAACTATAGTTGCTTCTCCTAGCAACGTTGACGAATGGATACATTTTGTAAGGGAGAAACAACATAACGATATAAAAGGGAACTCTGCCCCCATAAAAGTAGTCGAGAAATCGAAGGCTGATCACAGTGACAAATCAGTTATTTTTCATAAAATCAAGGAGAGAGAGCTCTGAACCAAAAAATCGTTTTTTAGCACGCTGTTGTGCTGATAAAACAGCTACTTAATCAACTCAGGCCTTAAAATATCCCCGGAGTCATCTTGCTAAAGGTGTACAGACTAGGTAGTCTAGCGAATCTGAAGCCTAATCAATCCAGACTGCTTAAAGTAGTATTCAAACCTTCAAATGAACGCGACTTAATTTTATAGAATGGACATAAATTAAAGGGTTCAGGAGTTTTTATCCGTAAGGACTTGCCGTTGGCAGACCGCATAAAAAGACGGGAAGCCGAAGAAGAACTACAACTTAGTTTTGACGCTGGCGAAAAGGACATGAAAATTGTAAATCTTCTGGTTTTAAGGCTTCGACGGAGAATGATGCCGAAGCCACTTAAATAGGCTTCGGGTCTGCTACACTAATGCCCAGAGCTTACTTAATAAGCGATTGGAACTAGGTGTACAGATTGACTCTACAAAGCTAGAAATAATCGCAGTTAAAGAAACCTGGCTGACACAGGCTATAGATAGTATGGAACTTGATTTCGAGGGTTTTACGTTAGTAAGGGCCGACAGAATACAAAAGCGTAAAGGAGGGCGGGTGGCTCTATTCATTAGGAATGCTATCCCATTTGCCATTATCGACAATGTATCTCATGAGAGTGGGACGTGTGAATTAGTTAGTTGCCGCTTGAAATGAAAGGGACAAGAGCTACTGATTGGTTTGGTCTATCGCAGTTCAAGCTGTGAGGTAAATGATATCCTGCTAAGCAGTCTCAATACTTGGTCACAAATTGGTCGGTGTCTAATCCTAGGGGACTTTAATGCACCTATGGTAGAACGGGAAAATCTGTAAACTGAATCGTCAGAAAGTCCCTTTGAGCAGGAACTAGCTGATGCGGTTATCTCACGTGCCCTAGTGCAACATGTAAAAAAAGCGACTGGGTACGACCCGGACAGTGAATCATCCTTACTAGATCTTATATTGACTCACTATAAGGATGACGTTGCGAACCTCCATCACATGCCACCCCTAGGTAAAAGTGATCACGCAGTTTTAACTTTCGACTTCCATATAACTCAATCACGAGCACGCGTTAACTCAATCCAAACCTAACGTCTGGAAAGCAAACATACTAGATATCATGCACTCAGTATCGTTAGTAGATTGGACAATAGAGCCAGTCCTCAACTGAAACGGCTTGGGACGGATTTCGAAATTTATACTTAAGTTACCGCACCCCACATCCCTTGGACTATAGCAAGGGGACCGAGAAACTCCCCACCATGGTTCAGTAGGGAGGTCCGCATACTTCTCCGTAAGAGAAGAAAAATGTGGGAGAGATTTAGGTTACTGGGGACTGATGAAACTAGATCCCAGCATAGAAAAGTCCGGAATACCTGTGCCTCGACTTTCCGTAAGTCTAGAAAGTTGTACGGAGAAAATTTTTTTAAGGAATCCATAGAATGTCCTAAACGCTTGTATTCCTATATAAACCGAAGGACAAAAAGAAGAGGAAGTATTCCTGCTCTATGGGGAGACAGTACTGCTGCATCATTAGTGGAGGATGACTTTGGTAAGACTCAAGTGTTCTCGGACTACTTTAGCAATGTATATACCATAGAAACACCCTTCCCGTCAGCGCATACAAATCCCCCACACATACACTGGATAGTGTGACCGTTAAAGAACTCGATATCTTTGGTCTGCTAAATAAGCTTGACATAGGTAAATCCACGGGGCCTGAAGAATTGCATCCTAGGCTACTGAAGGAATTATCTAACTTCGTTGCGAACCCTTTAAGTATACGCTTTAATCTATCCGTAACGCAGGGTCGTTTACCCAAAGACTGGAAGAACGCCATAGTAAATCCTGTCTTCAAAACAGGTACGAAACATAAACCTGAGAATTACCGACCTGTTAGCGTGGTTGTTAAAATCTTAGAAAAGATTATTCGGAAGGAGCTGTTTGAGTATCTTGATAAAAATCGGATCCTTTCGGAGAAGCAGCACGGTTTCAGAATAGGTTATTCTTGTCTCACTAACTTATTAGTCGCTCGTGAAAGCTGATGCGCTCTTAAGGACCAAAAGTTACCTGTAGACGTAGCCTGCATTGATTTCAGCAAAGCTTTTTGCAAAGTTCCGGACAACCGGCTGTTACATAAGTTAAGAAATGTCGGGATTGGAGGCATTCTATTGATGTGAATAAAAGACTTCCTAGTTGGGCACCAACAAAGAGTACGGGTGAACTCAAAGTTATCTAGCTGGGAAACTGTGCTTAGTGGAGTGCCCCAGGGTACAGCTTTGTGGCCATTGTATGTAAATGAATTTCCTCATCTCCTATCATCATCGGTCTTGCTATATGCTGACGATGTCAAGATATGGAGAACGTTACGATGTAAGGGTGATAGCTTAGAACTCCAAAATGACCTGAAGAAATTATCTGAATGGTCTGAAATCTGGCAGTTGCCGATAAATACTTCCAAGTGTGTTGTGATGTATATCGGTCATCAAGGTACAGATACATACACGTTGAATAACACTGAGCTGCCTGTCGTCCAGACACATAATGACTTAGGAGTCATCGTTAGCCAAGACTTAAAGACTACTGCACACTGCCGTGCAATAGCCGCCAAGCGTTTTAGAACCTTATGGTCAATACGTAGGGCTTTCAGTCATATCGAAGCCAAAACGTTTTTGACTTTGTATACAGTGTTTGTACGCCCTAAACTTGAGTACTGCGTACAAGCGGCTAGCCCCTGCTAAAAAAGACAGTAAGCTTCTAGAAAAGGTTCAGAGAACGGCAACTAAACTGATTCCCGGAGTAGCGAAGCTTCCGTATGATGCTCGACTGGCCAAGCTAAACCTTTTACTGTTGTCATATCGTAGAACTAGAGGCGACTTGATTACAGTTTTCAAATTGCTTAGTGCCAAATTTGCACATGATATGCCCTCACTTTTCTCGTCTTCCAAAACAGAGAATTTACGAGGACACTCCAAAAAAGTTCACAAGCTCAGAACAAATTACTTGTCAGCTGACTATTGACTTTCCCATCGAATCATCAACGAGTGGAATTCATTACCTCAGCACGTGATTGAGGCTCCATCCATCGACTTTTTGAAAAGAAAGTTGGATCAACTGAGCGACCACCATTACAAGGACTAACACAGGCCATCAGGCCTCCTGTCCTTTCCAAACTGAAACTTATTCAACTGAGGTGGTTGTGACATATGTAACATATGCATGACCTTAGCCTACCTTGATGGACTATGTTGTCTGGTGTAGGAGTCGAGTGGGAGAAAGCTAAGGCTGGCCAATTGAAAAAATACCATCAGTCCATAAAGTCACTGACAACTGCACTGAGTTATATCAATAGGAGTAAATTACTTGGTTGGGGACCGTGTGATTGTCGTAACCAATGGTTAGACTCTGAGCGAAAACACTCAAAATCGCTTGCAATGGTGCAGGCGCATCCATTCTTTATCCTCATTCAAATTCTGAGTTTCTCAGTCCCCTAATAACATTTTTCGTGTTTCATCTCACCCGTAGAAAACCAACTCGCTAAAAAATCGCTAACCAGAAAAAATTATCTCACCAATTTATATCTGTCTCTCAAATCATATCTTGGGTGCCTAATCTTTCTTATTACCACTAACACTGTTACTATCTTTACTATTCTGCGATTAGGTCTGGAAATTTCATCTCTCTTTGCTAACGGAGTATGGCAACTTGAACCGATGTACGAGGCTACCAGATTCTACTCTGATTGACTGACATATGGGTGAATAAACTTTGCGTTGGAATCCAAGACTTTCCCTCTTTAATTTCATTGGTCCCTCCATAAACTATAGTCTTATCGATCGAAACATTCACGTTTAAGTCAAACATCTCTGTTTTCATCGAGATCCCACATTTTCGTCAATTGGATTCTAAAATTAAATAACGGTTAACGATTAGAGTGGGTTTTGTGTAAAGTTGTTATTACGATTATGTTACAACATGAAGTGATACAGTAATTTTCGATAAAATTAACCACTGAGTCTAGAAAACAAAAAGAGAAAGATTATCAGCGTAAATTATTACTCACATTCCTTTCTTGATAACGCTTTAGTCTATCTGTGATGCATATTTTAAAAGAAATCTTGCGTTGCGACTCAAATTTTAGCAAGGTGTCTTTTGTGTACACTGACTGATTTAAACTTCAATGTTAATGCGCCTGCCAAACAAATATTACAAAAACCTATTCCTATCTCATACCTTGGTAGAATCTAAATTGCTGAGCCTCCATTTATATGAAATTACAGGTGAAGTGAAATTGATGGACGACTCCGGTCCCATAATGTGGGGCAAAAATATCTCCTTAACGTCTTTGAGTTGTCGTCCATAAACTTGGTCTCCTTGGCCATCTAATATGTAAATGGATTGTAAAAAATCCGTGATCTTACAAATCTGTCCTTCATATCTTCTTGTTGAAGATATATTTCTAAGGTGTCAAATTCCTTGTTGTTTGACAGGGAAATGAAACTGTGATTGTCCGCTGATGTTACTTGAGAAACTATTTAGGGATACATTATTTGAAATGCACATAATCTGCTTAATATCAGCGTTCAGATCAGAGACCGCTGCTTCAAGGTTTTGTAAAGTTATATTCATTTTCGATAGAATATGAGTGAAGACAACCACACACATAACTTACTCAACTAATTCACTGCCACTTGGCGTTGTTGCAGAAGCTGGTAGCTTAAAGTCTATCTTCGCTGAACTTTTTCATACAAATTTATAGGAATAATAGGCTTACTTAGCTACCAACAGTATAGGTGTTTCCATCAGTTTAAGCGTTGGATAGACAACCTTATTACTTTCAACTTGGATCTTGGCTACATCCAAATCAACTGAATCATTGATATAATTGGATTTCGTTTTGTGTTCCTCATTGTTAATAATTTATAGGATTACCATACTTATATACTAGGTTCCCTGGTCTGCGGTGACGTCTTTTTATATTGCAGATTAGTGATATCATATCCAACTAGTTTACTAAATGAAGCAACTGAATCTTTAATTGCGTAAAATTATCTAAAGGGAATTAGTTTCTCTGTGTACAAGATCACATATATGATAACAAACCAGTTTCCATTCATATCGATTTAGTTCATTGTATGAATGTCGAAGATATTGTTAAGATTCATGCAGTAAATCGCATTTGTTATTAAAAATAGTTGCTACAAGAAGCATATGCTTCTTAATCGAAGCATTGATTACTGCAAAGATAGGAAACTATTTTTCGAATTTCAAAGCCCAAATATATCGAAAAACTCAATAAACTTCACGAAAAGGTATGTCGCAATAACGGAACTATGATTTCACTTTACATTGGTCACCAATATGCACTTGCATACTGTCTCACCAACGAAAACCCGTATGTGCTCGTGACTAACTACTGAGCACATAAATATGCCTATGTCATCCGATGGAAAGATTTCTGTGAAAAGGTTTAGGGTGTTAGCATGGAGTGCAAACTTTGCTAATCCGTTAACACATATCTGTAGTTAGTTTGGGTTTACCTTGGACAATTGCTTAATTATCTGGCTTCATTGGTGTAAACCTAGTATCCCGGCAAGTAATAATCCGTTCTCCAAACTCGTAAGTAACCACGATTTCAGTCGTAACAATATATCGACTTACTTGCAACTTACTAAGGAAGGGGATCTGTTCTGCGTAACGCTGAATAACTTGTTTGCTACAGAGTATTTGCAGTGTATTTTCCTTTTGATCTGTTTCATCTAAGACTCAGAATAAAACTCTGAATGACATTTTGAATCATCCTACAGGTGTGAATCTCGAGACATAGATGAAATGGTCAACTATTTCCACATGCAGGCGAAAGAGGCGACATTTTGGTGCAATGTCGCTCATATTTCCCTCAATTTTGTCAATATTTCCCATTGTTTGCTTTGGGGTATAGTATTAACACAGTTAATTTTCCTAAACTACATCTATACAATAATTAATATCTTGGTATCAGTCTTAAGCTAAGGTTGTTAGCTCCTGGTGGTACATTATATTAATTGTTATGAGTGAAAATCTTTAATATGTTTCGCCATTTTTATTACCACTCCAACTATTGTATTTGATCAATGCGAAGCCATTTAGATCCATTGATCACCCATGTTTTTGGTCAATCAGATACTGTTCAGATTAACTTGAATGACACGTTCACCATATAATTCTCGCTATATTTTTCGTCGTCAGCAAAAAATAGCTTAGAAGACTCATTCATACTTCCATATCATTTAGGGTGTAGCACGTTGTATTCCAGGTATTTTTTTGACACACCACAGTTAATGTTATGTATTAACCGTCATTTCTATTTTTTGTTTTAGGATTGGGATAAATTTAGACAGGAACAAAATATTCATTCAACTATCTCAACCTCCAATACTATAAATAACACACCACAAGAAACCTTCAGTTTGTTATTTATACTATATGAGGTCTAAAAATTGATTTTGGGTTAACAACTCAGAGCGTTATCCATTTAAAGTGAATACGATAACTTTATATTATCAACATTCTTCTATAGACTTTTTTTTGGTTCAAAATGCCGGCAAAATTAATTCGTTCGATAAATCAGTATTTATATCCTCAAGATGAGATATTCATATTGATAAGACCTATTATTACACTAATTAATAATACTGTAGGAGTAGCTGCTTTAGCTATGCCATTTTGTTTTCATCAGGTATTTATTTTGTTATTTATTTATGTTATAAAATTCAGTGTGGTATTTTATTATCATTTTTGTTTCTTGGAATTACTGCTGCATTTTCAATAATGTCATGCGATGCTTTAATTGATATCTGTTCTACTCATCGAGTCCTTCCATTTGAACATGCTTGTAATTTTAAATATTCTATGTAAACTTGAACTTTATAGGCTTTAAAGCATTAGGACATATGGGAAAAAGCTTAGCTGAATTAAGGTAAGCATTGTGTTATATGGGGGACTTTTTAGTGTTATTTGTCTGTTGTTTGGCTACGTTGTAGGATATTATGTTACTATTGCAGACCTGAGCACTGGTGTTGTTTCACAAATCGCTGTAACTATGGTAAGTTTTACATTATGAATTAATTTGATGTAATTTATTTGCCATACCCATATACACAACTCCGAGCCATATGGATTGAGGGCTAATAATATTGCGTTGGTGTTGTGTTCTATGCCCTGTCAATCATGTCATGTGATTAATTCTACCGAATTATATAACCAGATCAATGACGCGTTAACCAGTACGAACAACCTAGTGCCAACTCTGAGTCCTGATTAGTCCTTTCTGCTTGAGTCCAGAACATAGCTTCTACTGTATGGATTATGTATTTCATACATACTTGGTTTATATATAAGCAAATGAGACCGCACCATACCATAAAATAGAAAATAAAAATCACACAAGATCAGGCCAAAAGTGGCTGTAACTAATAAATTGGGAATAACTTAATGGTAAATCGTATGACAGTAGTCAGTAGGTCAGGCAGAAGCTTATGATAGAAAGGATATAAATGTATATAGTTTAGTCATTTAACAGTTATACAATAAGAATATATGTATAATAATAGTCCATAAATAGCTCGCAGAAGTTACTCACAATTTAATCTCCTGATACAATACTTATTTTGTCATACATGTGCTTCTTAATGAAAGCACTGGGGTAGCCGATCTCGGTCAGTGAGTTGTTGATGAATTCAAGCTCCTGACTTAGAGTGTCTACTGTGCAGATCTTTTTAGCTCTGCTAGTGAGACATCTCACCAAATTTCTCTTGTAGCGGATAGGTGTGAAACTGCAGAAGTGAGTATATTGGCAGGCAGAGGGGGTTCTTCTATACACGCTTCTACTTAATGTGCCAACACTTTATCTGCTTAGTGAGACGTCAAGGAAGTTCAGCTTTTTGTCATACTCGCTTTCACCAGTGAAACCGATCGCTGTGTGAACACTGTTGAACTGTTCTAGGAGTTTATTCTTACTGATGTTTTGATCTACGATAATGAAGGTGTCTTCAATGTAGCGGCAATATAAATCAAGTTTCTCAATAGTCTCATTAAGAGGTCCATTTTCCAGCTTCGCTAAGAAGAGATCAGCTAAAATCGGGCCTAGAGGCGAGCCCATGGCTATCCCAAATAGATAGGATACGCACTTTACATTCTCGATCTATCCACAACCTCATTGTTATTGTGTGTCGCATATGTATTTGGTGTCCCCTTGTATCAATGTTTGTGTTCAGATAAATAAATAATTCACGCGCAAGGCCAAAGGTCCTGAGTCCAATTTTCTGTTTCGTAGTCGTGAATTCTCATTATTGAGAAGTCCTATACTAGATAGGAAAAAAAGGCCGTTCAGTACTTCAAAGTATCTAATGCTTTTCTAATTATGATCAGTTCATGCTTTTGATGATCCTCTATATATGCCATTATTAATTATTTTTTTAAACACATAAATCATTCGATTTGTGTAAGAGCTGTGATACTGCCCGGGTTCCCAAACTGAAACAGGTGGTTTTATTAGGAGGCCATATCCGGAACCTTTGACTTAAGGGTTTAATCTGCAAGATAGTGGAGCAACGTCATGAGGTGCAGTTCCATGGTAGCGGGTGACCAATAATTGGTTCATACTCCATTGGTTCCTTCAGAATACTGGAGCCCATGTACATCGTTGGTTTGGAATCAGGGTTTTTCAACTCGCCTAGGTGGACTCTCCATGTCCATCAACCCGGTTTCCGCACCGGACATTCGCTTTTCATCCTAGATATATGCCAAGTTCCTCAGTAATTTATCCCGACCGTTGTTGCTACCTTGACGTGGTGGTCGGGCTTGCCTATCGTGATGAAGCAACCGAGCTATACTGGCTGGAACAACCGTTCCTCAAGGTCCTACCATGTCAGACAGGTCGGTTGAAGAGCGGTAAGACTAAAAGCAACAAACCCAAGGTCCGAAGGCGAAGTCGTACTGCTGACTGTACAGAGGTGTGACAGCAGTAAGGTGTTTCCTTCAGACAACCAGCATGACAGCGATGCTGCCTTCCCACAAGGAGGGGTGGGGTTAGAAAAGGTCGACCCTGAAAATGCACACCTCGCCTTATCCCACGGATATCCGTCTCCGGCGGTAAGGTTTCAATAAGTACGGAGCTAACACAAAAATTACCCATAACAAGGTCGTGTGTGACCGACCTCAAGCAGTTGTCCCTTGGGCACTGCGGTCACGCTCTCAGGTCACTAAGACCACCTTTAATCCAAATTCCTTTTTAGGTACCTCCAGAAGAACCCTTCCACGGTGTGGGCAACCGGGAAGTGAAAACCGCCCTCATACCTCTAACAGCACTCAAGACCACTGTATTCATAATCAACCTTCCTCTTCAATTCCTATTATTCCTCCTACATCGACTTTCAACTTTAAATTTCCTCTCTCGGCTTCCACCTCAAGTGTCACCATAGCCAACGATTCTAGTGCGCAAAATACTGTCATTAATTTGTGGTAGCTGATTTGGAACTGCTCACACAAGACTGAATTATTGATGTTATTCGATAATTGAACTGGTATCAAATAATGAGAAATCTTTCCAGTAGAATAAACTTTTCTATTAGAATAGCTCGTTTATATACAAAATTTTGAATATGAGCCTAAATATAATTTGAAGTTATGTAATAAATAAATAATTGTTGGTTATAACAATGATAAGTAATTAATCAATGAATCTTCCAATAGAATTAATGACTAACTATAAGATCTAATTATTATCCTGTCTCATATATTACAAACCTATCTCATTAACAATGCAATTCATGAATTAAATATAACTAACTCATGTTTACTAAACCTTACATCGTGTTTATTATTCTTTTTTCTTTCTTACTAAGAATAGAAGTACTTTCACTATACATACTAGAGTAGTAGATACAAAGCTCAGATTCATAAACAAAATAATTGAAAATTGAATATATAATAGTTTAAATCATTCAACATGTTGATTATTTCTGTATGTCTAAACATTTGTTATCAGTATAGGATTGTGAAGATCGTTGAGTTTTAATTGAGATTATGAATTGATCAATTAAACCACTATTGAAAACGTGGAAGCATTAGGTGGCCATTTTGTCTTAGTATGGGACTCTTCAAAAGTGCGCATCCACGATCCCTCACAAAGGATGCGAATCTATGACTTTCAGTCTTACGCGCGAATGCCTAACCGCTAGACCACTGAGCTGGCATCCAATAGTATTAATGTCTAACTTCAACCAATCCATGATAT